GCAGTCCCTGCTCGCCACAACTAGAGAAAGCCCATGCGCAATCGTGAAAACCCACCACAGCCAAAAAGTAAAGTCTGAGAAATTTGCATTAAAAAAAAGGAAAAGCTGTAATGGGGACTTCTCTGGTTGTCCAGTAGTTAAGATTCCGTGCTTCTACTGCAGGAAGCACAGATCTGATCCCTGGTCAGAGCAATGAGGGAGACCTGGGTTCAATTCCTGGGTTGGGAAGATCCCCTGGAGAAGGGGAAGGCTACCCACTCCAGTACTCTGGCCTGAAGAATTCAGTCCATGGACTGTATAGTCCATGGGGTCGCAAAGAGTCAGACATGACTGAGCAACTTTCACAGGGAATTAAGATCCCATATGTTGTGTGGTGTGGCCAAATAAAAACAATTTAAAAAAATGATGTAATGGCTAAAAACTTAGCAAATATACATGTAAAATTCACAAATTTGATTGCATGTAAAATCACTTTAAAAAACTAAAAAAAAAAAACCAACAACAACAACAACACCTGAAAGGACCCATAAACAAACAAAACCAATGGCATATAAAGAAGGAAAAAGAAAGATGGAACGGATAAAGGAGTGAAGTGAGAGAGAGCTTAGGCACATTTTCATCACATTCCCAGGCTGGCTGTCGGTGACCTATGGGAACCACTGTGGGTTCCACTGGCTGGCCAGGCTTGTGGGAAGCTCAGATTCCTAAGACTTTCCCTGAGGCTCCGCAAGGGCAGGTGCCTGTTTTTCACCTCATACCCACAGCACATCACACAATCAGTTCCCAATAACTAAGAACTGCTTTCAAGTTTTGACCCAGTCAACGCCCTGCAGTTCAGTTCAGTTGCTCAGTCATGTCCGACTCTTTGCGACCCCATGGACTGCAGCACGCCAGGCCTCCCTGTCCATCACCAACTCCCAGAGCTTACTCAAACTCAAGTCCACAGAGTCAGTGATGCCATCCAACCATCTCATTCCCTGTCATCCCCTTTTCCTACAGCCTTTTCAATCTTTCCAGCAACAGGGTCCTCTCCAATAAGTCAGTTCTTCGCGTCAGGTGGCCTAAGTATTGGAGCTTCAGCTTCAGTCCTTCCAATGAGTATGCAGGATTGATTTCCTTTAGGGCTGACTGGTTTGATCTCCTTGCAGTCCAAAGGAACTCAAGTCTCTTCTCCTACACCACAGTTCAAAAACATCAATTCTGCAGTGCTCAGCTTTCCTCATGGTCTAACTCTCACATCCATACATAACTACTGGAAAGACCACAGCTTTGGCTATATGGACCTCTGTCAGTAAAGTAATGTCTCTGCTTTTTAATATGCTGTTGAGGTTGGTCACAGCTTTTCTTCCAAGGAAAAAGCATCTTTTAATTTCATGGCTGCAGTCACCATCTGCAGTGATTTTGGAGCCCCCAAAAATAAAGTCTGTCATTGTTTCCCCATCTATTTGCCATGAAGTGATGGGACTGGATGCCATGATCTTCGTTTTTTGAATGTTGAGCCAGCTTTTTCACTCTCCTCTTTTACTTGCATCAAGAGGCTCTCTAGTAGTTTTTCGCTTTCTGCCCTAAGAGTGGTGTCATCTGCATATCTAAGGTTATGATATTTTTCCTGGTAATCTTGATTCCATCTTGTGCTTCATCCAGGCCAGCGTTTCGCACGATGTACTCTGCACATTAAGTTAAACAAGCAGGGTGACAATATACAGCCTTGACGTACTCCTTTCCAAACTTTGAACCAGTTCGTTGTTTTATGTCTGGTTCTAACTGTTGCTTGTTGACCTGCATACAGATTTCTCAGGAGGCAGGTATGGTGGTCTGGTATTCCCATCTCTTTCAGAATTTTCCAGTTTGCTGTGATCCACATAGTCAAAGGCTTTATCGGAGTCAATGAAGATGTTTTTCCGGAATTCTCTTGCTTTTTCTATGATCCAATGGATGTTGGCAATTTGATCTCTGGTTCCTCTGCCTTTTCTAAATCTAGCTTAAACATCTGGAAATTCTCAGTTCACATACTGTTGAAGTCTAGCTTGGAGAATTTTGAGCATTACTTTGCTAGCATGTGAGATGAGTACAATTGTGCAGTAGTTTGAATATTCTTTGGCATTGCCTTTCTCTGGGATTGGAATGAAAACACCTTTTCCAGTCCTGTGGCCACTGCTGAGTTTTCCAAATTTGCTGGAATATTCAGGGCAGCACTTTCACAGCATCATCTTTTAGGATTTGAAATAGCTCAGCTGGAATTCCATCACCTCTACTAGCTTTGTTTGTAGTGATGCTTCCTAAGGCCCACTTGACCTCACATGCCTGGATGTCTGGCTCTAAGTGCTTGATCACACCATTGTGATCATCTGGGTCATGAAGATCTCTTTTGTATAGTTCTTCTGTGTATTCTTGCCACCTCTTCTTAATATCCTTTGCTTCTGTTAGGTCCATACTGTTTCTGTCCTTTATTGTGCCCATCTTTGCATGAAATGTTTCCTTGGTATCTCTAATTTTCTTGAAGAGATCTCTAGTCTTTCCCATTCTACTGTTTTCCCCTATTTCTTTGCACTGATCACTTAAGAAGGCTTTCTTATCTTTCTCCTTGCTATTCTTTGGAACTCTGCATTCAGATGAACATCTTTCCTTTTCTTCTTTGCATTTTGCTTCTTGTCTCTTCTCAGCTATTTGTAAGGCCTCCTCAGACAACCGTTTTGCCTGTTTGCATTTCTGTTTCTTGAGGATGGTTTTGCATGGCCTCCTATACAATGTTAGGAACCTCCACCCATAGTTCTTCAGGCATTCTGTCTATCACATCTAATCCCTGAATCTATTAGTCACTTCCACTGTATAACCGTAAGGAATCTGATTTAGGTCATCCCTGAATGGTCCAGTGGTTTTCTCTACTTTCTTCAATTTAAGTCTGAATTTTGCAATAAGGAGTTCATGATCTGAGCCACAGTCAGCTCCTGGTATTGTTTCTGCTGACTGTATAGAGCTTCTCCATCTTTGGCTACAAAGAATAAAATCAATCTGATTTCAGTATTGACCATCTGGTAATGTCCATGCATAGTCTCTTGTGTTGTTAGAAGAGGGTGTTTGCTATGACCAGTGCATTCTGTTGGCAAAACTCTTAGCCTTTTACCTGCTCCATTTTGTACTTCAAGGCCAAACTAGCCTGTTACTCCAGGTAGCTCTTGACTTCTTACTTTTGCATTTCAGTCCCCTATGATGAAAAAAACATCTCTTTTTGGTGTTAGTTGTAGAAGGTCTTGTAGGTCTTCTATCATAGAACCATTCACCTTCAGCTTCTTTGACATTAGTGGTTGGGGCACAGACTTGGATTACTGCAATATTCAATGGTTTGCCTTGCAAACAGACAGAGATCATTCTGTCATTTTGAGATTGCACCCAATTACTGCATTTCAGACTCTTTTTGTTGACTATGAGGATTGCTCCATTTCTTCTAAGGGATTCTTGCCCACAGTAGTAGATAAAATGGTCATCTGAATTAAATTCACCCATTCCAGTCCATTTTAGTTCACTGAATCCTGAAATGTCGATGTTCACTATTGCCATCTCCTGTTTGACCACTTCCAATTTATCTTGATTCATGGACCTGACATTTCAGGTTCCTATGTAATACAGTTGTTCATAGCATCAGACTTTACTTCCATCACCAGTCACATCCACAACTGGGCGCTGTTCTCACTTTGGCTCAGCCTTTTCATTCTTTCTGGAACTATATCTTCACTCTTCTCCAGTAGCATATTAGGCACCTATCAACCCGGGGAGTTCATCTTTCAGTATCACATCTTTTTACCTTTTGATACTGTTCATGGGGTTTTCAAGGCAAGAATACCAAAGTGATTTGCCATTCCCTCCTCCAGTAGACCACATTTTGTCAGAACTCTCCACCATAATCCATCCATCTTGGGTGGCCCTACAAGGCATGGCTCATGGTTTCACTGAGTGGGACTTTGCAATAGGCTTTGCCTCTGAGTCTTCATTTCTTTGGCTACCATAACAGAAACACCACACTACTCTGACCATTTGACAAGGTCATGAGGGTCAAAAGTATATATAGTAAAGCACCTTTAAAAATATGCCTATGTTTGCTATAATTTAATTAAACATATGAACCAAAAGCTTCAACCAGTAAATGAGCCAGGAAACAAAAGGATACAAGTTTAGATTAGCCTCCCATGTTTAAAACAACCCAGAGCAGGAGTGTTAAGATTGAAGGTTCAGGATTGAGGTTTAAAGGAAAAAAATCTCTAAAGTATACTGTATTAGAAGGAAGCTCACATTGTTCCACAGCTTAGCAATTCAAGTCATTGCTTTCAAGCTGAACATGTCTTGTAAGATTCAGTGATAGATCAGCAAGCTTCTATTTATGGCAACACACAATTTATAGAAAATTACACACAGAGAAACGGCATGAACTTGGTCAGAGCCATTTTTGAGACAGAAACATAGTGAGGAAGACAAAGATTTCATAAGGAGTCAGGAAGTCTGGAACCCAGACTCCTAGATTACCTACAAAAGGTACCCTAGGACTTGAAAATTCAAAGACAGCAAAAGGTCACTTTGTAATCCATTATTCTGTGGCCTAACCTCACACCTCTACCTTTATTAATGCTACTTGCTCTAAAATTCTTTTCCCCATTCTATTATCAATAACAGTTTCCCAATCTTCAAAGCCTACTCAAATGCCACTCCTAATGTGAAGTCTTCACAAACATGTATACAACACTCATGGCTCCCTTCCAGGGGGTTTCCATAACAGCCATACCCTCAGTATTTTTAGTCAGGCTCAGTAAATTGTGATGTCAATTCTTCCCCATGAAAATTAGAAAACATCTTCTAATGAGCTTAGAAGAATGATGAGCACATGCTGGTGCTTGATGAAAAGTACACTGATTAATAAATACATCAATTTTAGGAGTCTCATTTCATGTTAAGGGTGTCTCAAGCAGTAATTCAGTAAAGCCAGCATTTGCACATTTAGAAAGGCCTACCTGGCCTGCACAGGTCTCCGTGTTGCTCTTTTTCACTGGCGTAGACCTCCATGCACCAAGCATGGTATGCAAATGAGAAGAGATCTTCTATTTTAGCAGGTGGTCGGATTGCATTGTTCAGTCTCTTAAGCCACTCTTGACACTGCTCAAAGGTTGAGAACTGACACCTTTGTAAAGCCAAACAAGTACAAATGTAATCAGAAGACAGCTGACAATAAAACCTAAGGGAAGCCACCATTTCAAGAGTGCCTACTCACAGTGAATGATAATTACGGTCAAAAAGCATTAGTATAAAGGTGGTCTAATAGTTATGATTTATAATTTGAAAAAACACATCCAACAAATTTTAGTCAATGATGGAAAATGTCAAGAAGAAAAAAGCTAGACATGTGGAAAACTTTGTTTTAAGACTAATAAAATCTCTTCTGAGACTGATTAATGAAATTATTAAAGTAAAATAGCAGTCCCTCTTCCAGGAATGGGGTTTCATTCCACTTCTCCCACTAAAGCTTTATGGTTGTCCCTCTCAAGAAATATGTTTAGAAAAGTTCTTTTTGTTTTGTTATGACATGTCATGCTAAACTCAGAAGCAGTTCACAGTACTACTTTTAGCCAATTAGGGAATAATTTCAAAATTAATCTACTTAGCAATTAGAAAAAATCAGCACCTTTAGATTGAAAATAAGATACATTACCCTGAAACTCTCAGCTGTGACGTGTAGAGACCAAAACAATTCTATTATCAAGTGCAATTTTTAGTGCATATATATAACTAAGAGATTAAAATAATTAAAACAGTGTAAAAAAATACTTAAATCTTTTCAAATGCAGTATTTAAAACTGAGTAATTAATACACAAGCTTTTTAAACTGTAAGTTATAACCAGTATCTATCAAAAGCAAGCCAAATCTGAATGGCTAAAAAGCAACTTAAATATTTACCTTAAAACCAAGGAGGAATCAACTATAGTCCAACAAAAATTTGAAAAAAACAAACAAGGAGGTCACTTAAACCTCTCTTATCCCAACTAGTGTGACTTATCAACATGCCCACACACAATGTTTACTGGCACTCTAGAATAGGTCATAAAAATAAAACAAAAACTTGGGGAGTGAAAACTGGGAGAGCTACTACATTTAAAATTCATTTCAGTCATTCCTTTTTCAACCATTATAATGAAGATTAGATCAGATAAAGTCAACACTGAAGAACCTTGACGAGCAGTATGACATCTGTAGAGTCTTAAAGTGCCTCCTAGATTGCTATCAGTTGCAATGGAGAAAATACGGAAATTACACAGAAAGTGGGTGATTCCTTCAAAGAAGGATCAAAACTAACATCACTGGTAGGGAACAGGTGGGCACTGTTTGCCTCTAGCTGTAATACAATATCCTGAAGAGGACACCACCTCATGTGTACAGTATTCCAGCTGAGAATGTACAACCTCAATTTATTCCTGAGGAAACACTGGACACAAAAGAAACATTCTATTATAATAAAAGATTGTTTTCTTCAAAATGCTAACATCAAAAAGATACAGAAAGGTGATGGAAAATATTCCAGATTAAAGAAAGCTACAGAATCATGGCAACTAAATACAGTATGTGACCTTGACTGAATCTTGTTCTGAATGAGGTAGGGGCAATGCTATAAAAGGCATTATTTGGTCAACTGACAGAATTAGAACATGTGTAGCAGACTGGGTAAAAGTATTACGAGTGTAAAACTGTGAAGTTGATAATGATACTGTGGTTATGTAAGAAAATACCCCTATTCTTAAGAAAGCACACTTTAAAATTTTAGGGCAAAGAGCCATGATTTCATAACTTACTTTCTAATTGTTCAGAACATGAATTTCTCACACACAGACAAAATAACGCAAATGGGATAAAATGTTAACAGTACTAGTGCTCTTTACTATTTTTATGTTTGTACTTATTTTGCAAATTTAGTTATATCCAAATAAAAAAGAAAATGTATCTTTCCAGTAGCAAACTAGCCTGAAGATAAAATATTTCAGGGACTAACTACTCAGAAAATGTCCCTAACTAAGCTGACCCTCAAAAGCAGTTTCCGTTATCGAATCATGAATCCACCCTTTAAAAAGTATTTTCCACACTAAACAACAGCATAAACACGTCACATACCTGATAACTTTGCAGTCTTTGCAAGTCAAATGAAGCTGAAATATATCTCGGCATTCAACACTTTCTATAAGCTGCAATGGGATCTGCAATTAAAAAAAGATGAAGTTCCCTTAGTCAAAAAGGCATTGCCCCTGCAGTTCTGCAATGTGTCCAGCAAGAGTGATTAGAGCTCTACAGGAGAAAGAAGCACAGAAGTGCATAGTCATCTGAATCAACAGCACTGAAGTGATTTAGTGGGTGATTTAGGCTTCCCTTCCTCAGTCTCTAATCAATGCCCTCAAGTCATGTCACAGCACAAGGACAACCAAAGAAGAGGAGGCACCACATCTAGAAGAACAAGGAAATACAGAAATGTGTCATCTCTCCAGCAACAAACTTACAATCTCCTCTCTCAAAGTACTACTTTATGACGCTAGAGCTAGCTGTGATTTGTGGTGACACAGAAGCTGAAGGGAACCAGAACAGTTAATCCTGTCCTGTTGACAAAAAAGAGCTGCAGATCAAGATACTAGTGGGACTATACTTGTCGCCTATCCCAAATGTCAAGGTACCTGGGCCTCTGTGTCAGCAAAGGAGCAATGTGAAAAAGACTGGAGGTCCGACAGTAGACGGAGCTGCTGGTCAGGCTCTCTGCTCAGCAAGGAGGAACAGCTCTCCCAGTGGCCTAATCGGCTAGGTTTAATGTGTTTCAAAGACAAGCTCAGGAGTCCTGTTTGCCAAGTAGGGCTCAAGGCATGAGTAAGCTGGGGTGGCTCTCTCCCTGCCAATCTGGTCATCTGAAACTGAAACAAGATCAGTGCAACAGCGCGGGGGATCAGAGAAGGGAGGCAGATAGGAGGGAGAACATCTGAAGAGGGGGATAAATCCTCAAGCTGTCGTCAGAATCCTCCTTCTGTCCCTCAACTTTTCCTGACTCAACCCTTAACCTCAAAAATTTCCAATTTCCAAAACTTCTAAAGAGAACCTGGTAAAAATTATTGCAGATACTCTCACTCGTTGAAAAAGGATCTTTTTACGCTGTATCAAGCCCAATCAAAATGTGGCTCTGGGAGCTGCAAGGAGCATTCCAGCAATTCGTGTTTTGCATGAGGCGGCGGCGGCAGTTTCCTCCAGCACAGACAGAAACAAGAGAGCACTGCCTGCACCCGGTGGCTCTGCTGCTGGCTGAGCCCCTTTCAGGACGAGGCTTCCGGCAAACCCTGCCCACCATGCAGTTGCCAGGGTCAGCTGAGAACTCTCAGAACAAGGACGTGGAGATCGAAAAGCAGCCCTTATGATGGACATGTCGAACAAACACAAAGAAACTCGGGTAGGGATTAAAAAAGAGAAGAAAACAAAATACTGTCACTCAGCTAATGGCTGAGAGTCCTACCTCAGAAGTAGAGCCTTCTAGATTTATCTACAAAGTTCCCTCATAATAGGACCAAAAGTAAGAGGAAGCCTAAGAACTCCTGTCTGTGCTCAGAGAAGGAAAAAGGCCCTCTGGCCCTCGGTTTTCAAGTCCTTTACCCCAAGGTGCTGTGAGAAACCGGAGCTGATGCAGTTAAACATTCTTTTAAGACCTGTACATCTAAGAAGGAAAAACAACAACGTATCAGTAGGCATAAACTGTGAAGGGGTAATAGGAGATTAAGAGATCAGAAGGGGACACTGATTTTTCCTCAGGCCAGTCCTCTGGGTATCCTGTAACAGACTCATGTTAGGTTTTTTGTTTTTTAAACCTGCAGTCCCCATTCTCCCCCAATACTCCCCCAAAAACAAAAAGAGAAAAGGAGGTGCCAGACTGGCAATTCAGAGGCCTGAGTTCTAATTTCAATTTTCTAAAATTTTATCAACCGAAACTCTGCCTGCTTACCGACTTCCTTGGACAATCCTCTAACCTTCCCACATGCCACCAGCCTCTGCTTTCTGGTGGTCCCGGCTTAGGAAGGCCGGGGCACAGGGAATGGGCAGAGCCTGGGGTGGAGTGCGAGTAAGCTTCACAGATCCACAGGCTCTCACAGCAATCACGTGCTCCATGTCCCCTCTAACACCCTACCTTATAGCTGGAAAACCTGAAAACCCACTAACATTATTACAGACGCTGGAGGGAATGGACCAGCCTGTGCTATTTTGCTACAAAGAACCAAAGTTTTACATCCCTACTATTTTGGACTCTACCAAGAGCCTATGTTCAGACTTCTAAAACACAAAGATGTAACACTTCAGGGTATGCAAAACATTTGCTACCTACATGCTTCCAATATACAATTTTTCATTTATTTTAACACTGCAAACTTAAGAAAGAAGGATAAAAATACTGGTTGCTAGTATATAGATTATAGCAAATCACAAGAAACCACCATGTGTATTCAAGTCATAGATAACAGCAAACATTTTAATAATCATGCAGATTATCACATGCAAGGAAGTTTAATATGCAGCAAGAACAAGGACGTAAAAGAGAAACACTTGATTTTGTATCAAATGAACAGCTCCCTTTTATCTTCCCCTTTCATCTAATGTTACTCTTCAATGCACCCGCCCCACCCTCGAGATTGCCTTCTCTTTGAAAAAGGCAGAGCTAGCTAGCTTTTCCTCTTCATACAGTCAATCAAAACATAAAATAAGCTTCTCTACTTCTTTAAAGGCAAGTCCACTGATTCAGGTTTCTCAACTTTGGCAAGTCCACTGATTCAGGTTTCTCAACTTTCATCACATATGAGGAGGGTCCTTACCATTTCTGTCACTAGACATACCCCAAAGCAAAGAAATACAGGCTCATGAGGCAGACCATTTTATAGCTCAAGAAGGTTAAGATACTCCACTAAAGCGAGCGGCAGAGTCAGGACCAGAATCCATGACTGCCTTCCAGCTCAGGGTCCTTCCAACATACATGGTGCGCCGTTCTTCCTCTAAGACACCCTTCCCTTTTGTGTGAGCACTACTTTAGTTTTTCTTTCACTATTAAACAGCCTCTTCACCAGGGATCTTAAGAGGAAAACACAATGTAAACCAACATTCTACAGAGGCAATTCTAAGAAATCTGAAGTCACAATCATATCCTCCCTAACCCAATGATTCAGTGCTTTGCAACAACTCATCCTCATTTTGCTCCTTTCTTCTCTGCCTTCTACTTGCCAGGCAATTCTCTCTCCCATTACAGTGCTTTTCTCCTTATAAAACCCACCAAACTCATGCTTAAAATACATCAAACACACTTCAGTGCTGTTAATCAATTCCTCTAAAGGTCAAAAGTTATATTACATACACCAAAACTCATGAGAGCATCAATCCAAAAGAGCAGAACAGCGGCAGTTTAAGAACATGATAGACATGCATAAGAGAGTTGCAGTACTCATTCCAGAGGGAATTTTATGTTATTTCCTACTGTATTTACCATAATTCATTCTGGGTCTATATATGTGTGAATTACTAAGCACCAGAATTTAAAAGTGGGAAATAATGTATACTTTTTAATAATAAATGCCCTTTTATAGACTGAATGGGGAAATACTAACCTTGCATACACATGGTAAATAAAAATGGCAGTAACAGAGTAAAAATAATGTAATGAGTCTTAACCTAAAATCTATATAACACACTGTGGATTATCTGGGTTCTGACAATTTAAAAACCAGTCAGAAGAAAATGGTCACAGGTTAAAGACCCAAATTCTTTATGGCTCACTTCTGGTATTTACAACGTACTCTTCCAACATGGCTTTTCAGAAACCTCCTCTGATTTATGAATGTTAAGGCCAAAGGGCATCGTTAACAATAACCTTCTGATGCTTGGAGAGTAACAAAGATTTTCAACGTACAACAGTTAGGCAATGTAAAAAATGTAGCAAATGCTAAAGAAGGTGTTTCCAGGTATACTTCCAGCTTGTTCCTAAGAAGCATTAACAGACCAGTCTAGAAATGGGAGTTTTAACGTCCTTTGAAATACTAACGTTGTCTTTACTTCTGGTTGAAATTCAGGTTACATTTTTTGAAGGTCACAATTCCATCTGCTCATGGGACTATGGGGCTTTACTCCACAAATTGTCCTCATGTACACAAAACCACTAGAACTTTCTCTAATATGAGGAAAGAGACTCATGCAGAGAGGATACACTTTGCTGACTTGCAAGGTGAGCATCTGACACTCAAAAACAGTTTGTTCCAAGCACAGGTGCAACAACCGCCTACAATTCTCATGCTACTTACTGGGATTTCAGAAGCAGCAGACTGAGAGGCGGTCTATTGAATTACACAACAAAAATCATTTCAAAATTTCATTATCTTCACTTGAACACTTACTTGTTTGTAAATTAGGTGAGCAAAGAAATATACCTATACATATGTAAAAATACAGTTTGGGAAAAGCACAGAATAGGAGCAATTCATACCTTAAATGCTACAACTGAACTATACTACAGAGGTTCTTTACCCTAGAAACTGGAAATTTGATATAACGTATGTGCATTACAATAATGATATATTTTAATGTGCTGTGAGATTAAGAGACTATATGATATCAGACAGCTATTTAAAGCTTGATGGTATAAGTCATTTAAGAGTTAAATGTGTTCATTTGAAAACATACAAAATGATGCAAACTGGAGCATGCCACAATACATAGTGACACATCTGGGTTTTGATGGCTGATATATGTTTGATTTAGATATAGTAACTTTTAGGGGAGGGGTCTCTTAATATGACAGATTTTACTGAAATACTCATCTGCTGAGGGAGGACCAGAATAGGAGGAGCCATTGTTTCCTGGAGTAACCACAGGTTTTAGGAGCCTAGCACTGTGATGTAATTAACTTATTTGTACAAAGAAGCCCTAGTCTCTCCCAATCTGAATTACTTAAAATCGCTGCAACTACAAAATACTTTTGCACAACCATTTTTCAGTGCAAAGCCATTATCTTGGGCTTTTAAAAAAAATGACAGGCAGACTCTGCCTTAGAGGGTTATCATGCTAAATGGAAAACACTTTTTGGTGAAGAAATGGGTCACAAGTTAAAAACAAGGGTAAATTTTCTTAAGCGCTGTATCTCAATCACAGTTGGGGGACCAACAATTCCAGTAAACAATCTACTCATACAGCTTCTGTTAGAGAAAAAGATGATGCAGGCTTATTTACACAGAAGTATGATTTAAAAGGAGCTTTAAACCCAGAGAAGATTTTTAAATGGACTAATATCTATTTCAAACCCATTATTAACTTCAATTCACTTAATATTTACTGAATACAATGGCACAAGTAAACACATTGGATTCTAAAGATACAAAGATGAACAAACAAAAAATTACAACATATCTGGTAAAAGTTGTCAAAGTGTGTTCAAGACACAGAAAAAGCCAGAAGAGAGGGTAATAAACTGTCAGGGAGGGAACTGGGACTGAGAAAGGCTTCACAGAAGAATATCATCACCTGAATTGGGTTTTGACAGATGAAGAAAAGTTCCTTGGGTAGGAGAAGAGAGAACTCAGAGGTATAAGGTATGTCTGAGAGTCCAAGGAGGGTGGCTTTACTAATACGAAGGGGAGAAGGGGAAAGAGAGGGAAACAGAAAAGCCGTAAAGGACCAAGGATCACATCACTTAGGGTGACACCATGTTAGGTAATTTCACTTTAGAAGTAATCAAGAAAAACTGAAGGCTTTTAGGTTGGTGAATGACAGGATGCAACCCATGCGTTCTCTCCAATAGATCCTTTACCCCAATAGATCTAAAAATAGTCTCTGAAATACCTGGCCATAAACCAAAAAGCTGAGAGACAGGACTGCATGAAAAAATGCAATGATACGAAACTACATTATCTCCACATGTAATTTAATTTTCACCAATTCTAGACATTTAAACACAAAATTAAATTGGGTAATTCTACTAAATATTGCTGTCATTATTTCCACAGTAGCTAGTAGGATCTGGCTGCTGGGATGTTATAGGAGATTCCATCCTGTCACCTCTTATCAGGGCCACTCAATTCCAAACGGACCCTTCTGAACAGTAGCACATGATATGAAAGCGCAACATGTCTCTTGCCTTGATGAATCCAGTGTGTATTTTTAGCTGACAGACAGAAAACTAAGACAAGAGCTATGATCATAGCCCAAATCTACAAGCAAGAAGAATTTAAGCCACAGTGATTCCTAGATGTAAATGCCTAACTGCACAGAGTACTAATAAACACTAAAACTATAAATGCCAACCACAAAGAAAATGTTAGCCATTTGAGTCTTGACAAGGAAAAAATATGATGAAGGAATTGGGTAACTTTTGGATGGCTGAGTAAAACAACTTTCTAAGAATCCCAAAATGAGCTCCCAAACACACTATCTGAATGAAGGGACAGTCCTGAGCTTTTGTAAGATGTCACAGGACACGTCTCTGTGGTAGACCCAAAGCACAAAGAGCCACAACCCTGTTCAGTGAGGAAAAAAGAAGGCATCCGTTTGGTTAAAATACATGAACTTTGGCATTTTTGTGCTGAAAGACAAGTTTACTGAAAAATATTAAGGATGGCAATAGTTCTAGAAGACCCAGTTCACTGAGAATACCCTTTTAATTGAAAAGGGTAAATGCACTCAAAAGTTGAGAGCTTTCCCTCTCTTCAGCAATATACAGTACTTTAAGCAAATAAACATTTTATTTAACACCTATACTTATACCACTAAGAAGCCGTAAGAGTCACTTCATCCTGTAACAGAAGCCTGCACTGAACTCAAAGTACATCTCGTCGTTTGACGTTGCTGTTCAGTCCCTAAGTTAGGTCCAACTCTTCGTGTCCCCCCTACAGCAAGCCAGGCTGTCCTGCCCTACACCATCTCCTGGAGTTCGCTCAAATTCGCGTTCATGGAGTAGGTGATACTATCTAACCATCTCATGCTCTACCGCCCTCTTGTCCTTTTGCTTTCAATCTTTCCCAGCATCAGGGTCTTTTTCAACGAGTCAGCTCTTTGCCATCAGATGGCGAAAGTACTTCAGCATCAGTCCTTCCAATGACTATTCAGGGTTGACTTCCTTTAGGATGGACTGTTTTGATCTCCTTGCAGTCCAAGAGACTCTCAAAAATCTTCTCCAGCACCACAATTCGAAAGCATCAACTCTTCAGTGCTCAGCCTTCTTTATGGTCCTATTCTCACATCCATACGTGACTACTGGAAAAAACCATAGCTTTCACTATACAGACCTTTGTTGGAAAAGTGATGTTTCCACTTTTTAGTACGCTATTTAGGTTTGTCATATATTTCCTTCCAAGGACAAGCGTCTTTTAAATTCACGGCTGCAGTCACCATCCAGTGATTTTAGAATGAAAATAAAATCTGTCACTGTTTCCACTTTTTCCCCTTCTGTTTGCCATGAAATGATGGGACCTGAGGCCATGATCTTATTGAGTGTTGAGTTTTAAACCAGCTTTTCCACCCTCATCAAGAGGCTCTTTAGTTCCTCTTTGCTTGCTTTCTGCCATTAGAGTAGAATCATCTGCATTTCTGAGACTCTGCAATCTTGACTCCAGCTTGTGATTCACCCACCTTGGCATTTCGCATGATTACTCTGCATACAAGTTGAATGAACAGGGTGATAATATACAGACTTACCATACTCCTGTCCCAATTCTGAACCTCTAAGCTATTCCATGCAGGGTTCTAACTGTTGTTCCTTAACCCATATACAGGTTTCTCAGGAGACAGGTTATGGTAGTCTGGTCTTCACATCTCTAAGACTTTTCCAGTTTGTTGTGATCCACACAGTCAAAGGCTTTAGCATACTCAATGAAGCAGATGTTTTTCTAGAATTCCCTTGTTTTCTCTATGTGCTTAGCTGTCCAGGCATGTCCAACTCTTTGTGACTCCACGGACTGTAGCCCACCAGGTCCATGGGGATTCCCCAGGCAAGAATACTGGAGTGGGTTGCCATGCCATCTTACAGGCGATCTTCCCAATCCAGGGATTGAACCCAGGTCTCCCACATTGCAGGAGGACTCTTTACCGTCTGAGCCAGCAGGGAAGCCCTGCTTTCTCTATGATTCAACAAATGTTGACAATTCGATCTCTGGTCCTCTGCCTCTCCTAAACCCAACTTGTGTATCTGGAAGTCCTCAGTTCATGCACTGAAGCCTAGCCTGAAGGACTCTGGGCATAGCCTTACTAGAATACAAAATGAGCACCACTATACTATGGCGTGGACATTCTTTGGCATTGCCCTTCTTTGGGACTGGAATGAAAATTGAGCTTTTCCAGTCCTGTGGCCACTGCTGAGTTTTCCAAATTTGCTGACATACTGAGTACAGCACTTTCACAGCATCATCTTTTAGGATTTTAAACAACTCAGCTGGAATTCCATCACCTCCACTAGCTTTGTTCATAGTGATGCTTCCTAAGGCCCACTTGACTTCACATTCCAGGTTGTCTGGCTCTAGATGAGTGATCACACCATTGTGGTTATCTGGGTGATTAAGAACTTTTTTGTATAGTTCTTTTGTGTATTCTTGCCACATCTTCTTAATCTCTTCTGTTTCTGTTAGGTTCTTACCATTTCTATCCTTTATCCTGCCCATCTTTGCATGAAATGTTCCCTTGATATCTCCAATTTTCTTGAAGAGATCGCTCGTCTTTCCCATTCTGTTGTTTTCCTCTACTTCTTTGTATTGTGCATTTAAGAAGGTCTCGTGTCTCCTTGCTATTCTCTGGAATTCTTCATTCAGTTAGGCAAATCTTTCCCTTTCTCCTTTGCTTTTTGCTTCTCTTCTTTCCTCAGCTATTTGTAAAGCTTCTTCAGACAACCACTTTTCCTCCTTACATTTCTTTTTCTTTGGGGTGGTTTTGGTCACTGCCTCCTGTACAATGTTATAAACCTCTCTCTATAGATATTCGTCACCTCGACTGCACAATCGTAAGGGATTTGATTTAGGAGGTGGTGCTAGTGGTAAAGAACCTGCCTGCCAATGCAGGAGAAGTAAAAGATGCAGACTCAATCCCTGGGTTGGGAAGATGCCCTGAAGAAGGAAATGGCAACCCACTCTAGTAGTCATGCCTGGAGAATCCCCTCGACAGAGGAGCCTGGTGGGCTACAGACCATAGGGTCGCTCAGAGTTGGACATGACTGAAGTGACTTAATGCATACCTGAATGGCCTAGTGGTTTTCCCTACTTTTTTCAGTTTTAGACTGAATTTTGCAATAAGTCAGCTCCAAGTCTTGTTTTTGTTGACTGTACAGAGCTTCTTCATCTTTGGCTACAAAGAATATAATCAATCTAATTTTGCTACTGACCCTCTGGTGATGTCCACGAGTAAAGTCATCTCCCTGTGTTGTTGGAAAAGGGTGTTTGCTATCACCACTGTGCTTTCTTGACAAAACTGTTAGCATTTGACATTAAGGTCTAGGAAATTCTTTCAACTGATGCAGTCAGTAACTGCTAAAAATTCAGGAATAAAAGCCTACACAGTTTCTGCACCATTACAAATCTTAATGATACAGCATTACCAACTGCAAATCATGCAGTGTTACTAAACAATGGACACCTCAGCTGACAACTACATGTATCATTTTAAATCAAGCATAAGAGCTGCTTGCTAATGTAGTGTCCCCAGTGCTTAAACTGAGAAAAAAAGCAGAGTACACAACGTTTTCATGCTAAACTCTATGTAACACTCCAATGTGAGAAATGGAAGTTTTCCTTCCTTTCTCCACCTGCTTTAGTGGAGGAACAGCTGACAGCACTTACGTTAACAAGAGACTCCTTGAACTTGATGTGAAGTCTGTAATTGGAAAGGGCGATGACGGCGTCCTCAGCACGGCCCACATACTCTGTGCTCTCTCCATGCAGTTCAAGGAAAGGAACCTTCAAGGGGAGGAGAAACCATTCAGAGCTCTGAGCAGTAACGCAAAGTCCTTCAACACAGCTCAGGTGAACGGACTACACACACTGTCGCTCCCGACAGCACACAGATGGGTACGGGACCTGAAGAGGACGGGTGTACACCCACAAGATTAAAAACACCTACTTATTCACATTTAAGACTAAAGAAGAAATGACACAGACACGACCACCTCAGTGGGAAAGTCTTTCTAACAGAGATGTTTTCCAGCATACATTTCTATCACGTGTGTGGTTTAGGGAAAAAATCCATTTCTCTAACACGGATTCCTATATGCAGTGCACTACCTCGACCCACCGGCTCAGCGACATTGTCACTACGATGCTTAATCCTTGTTCCACAATCAAAAGTGGCCCGGGGTTACCTGAAGATTCTCATCCTCCCGGATCAGCTGCTTCCTGGGAAAGATCTGCTTGGCTTGGATGCACTCAAGGCTGTGCCGAGTCTCTTCATCCTGGAAAAAACCCAGATGTTTAAATAATTTCAAAGCTCCTACTCCATGTTTGGTTTTTCTGCCATGTCTAGTAACATAATCACAAAATCCAGGTGCCTCTAAATGGAACACACACCAATAACAAAGAAAGTCAAAGAGGTTAAGAACATTTCTATTAAGTGCTAATAAGTTGTTAGTATATTACTTTTAAGAGAAACTAAGATATAGTGGCTTTTTTCTCTTGTTATAACCTTTATTTTTAAAGGATGCATTCTGAATTATTATTATTTAAGAATGAAATGATGTGATCGATGTCTGGAATTTGACTCAAAACAATTGGAGGGGGAAGGGTAATAAGGAAGTGAATGGAGCATAAATGAAACAACTGTCCATGAGGGGATCGATACATGGAATTTTAAGTGAGAGTTCATTATATCTCAGTGTCTACTCTGGTTATATGGGAACTTTCCATAACAAAGCTGTTTTCTTTTCAATGTAAACTTAAGAACTGAATCCTCAAACTGAAAACATGTGTGTAAACCACTACCCCTAGGTTTAATCTTTGTATTACATATTTATTTCTATTAAGGCAATCTCAAAAGATAATAAATTATAATCTAAATAGCACTTGAACTAATCATAATTTACATAAAAACAGTCTTTTACATTATAAATTTGTATGATATTCAAAGATCAGGGGGAAAACCAATCTATTGGAAAGTCCAGGGGTAAATTATGATGAAATCTATTTACACAGCAAGTTTTATAAAAGCAATAGCAATTTTAAACATAAACCCTAATAGTACGGTTCTCAAAATGTGATCTGCAGATTCTGAGACCCTTTCAAGGCCTCTATGAGGTCAAAACCACAGTCACAATACTACTAAGACTTTTTCAATACTAAGCCTGTAATAATACTAAGCCTTTTTTCTCTGCATTGACATTTGTACAAACAGCACAGAGAGACTCAGTGAGTAAACCTGCTGGCCCCTTAGTATAATCTAGCAGTGGCACTTTAAATGTACTTGGTAACGAGTAGGAGAAAAATGATCAATTTTATTACATTCTGATCCTTAAGTCTTTTTCTTTTTTTGTTTTTAAAGAAGAAATAGGGACTTCCCTGGTGGTCCAGTGGTTGAGACTCTAAACTCCCAATGCAGGGAGCAAGGTTTCAATCCCTGGTTGGGGAACTAAGCTCCCACATGCTGCATGTCCAATAAATATATAAAATAAAATATTAAAGAATAAAGAGGAAATACACATGAAAGCCTTTTGCTGCACACTGAAGTATTATGGTTGTCTCAAGGTAAAGCACCTGTGCAACTGTTTCAGTTACAAGCTGAACTAGCAACTTCTTTTGCAAGTGAATGACCACCATTTGCAACTGAAAAGAACAACTGACTATGGTAATTTGGACTTCAGTAGATCTTTTCTTCAAATGACATCAGTTACCAGTGACAAAGTTTTAATGTGAAAATTTCAATTTTGGAAAGTCTATCATCTGCCACAAGGAACTTTACAGCTTTCCAGTACCAAATACTTTTCTGATATAACCAGTGGCAATACTACCAAGTGTGATTTTTAAAAGAAATTTTACTGCAAAATTTGTCTACCTTTGGAAGACCTGCATTCCTCATTTTCTCACTATTCATTATTTTCAAAATGACCTGTTCATGTTACAAAATCATGCATGGATAAAAGATCCATTTAAAGTGCAAGACAACTGACGGTTTTAACATAATACAAAAAGTTCACTGACGTGACTTCAAATTCCACACTGCAACTAACCTTCAAAGAACTAACACTTGTCAAGTTTTGATGTGTAATAGAAGAATACAGACAACTACCTGGAAAAACTATTAAAGTACTCTTTCATTTAACTACTGAGTAAGGCTGGATTTACTTCATTTATTTCAAAAAATACACTGTAGCAAATTGGATGCAGATGTAGATATGAGAACCTAGCTATCATCTATTAAGCCAAATATTTTTTTTAAAACTGTAAAAATGTAAAACAATGTCACTCTTACATTAATTATTGCTGGATGAGAAAAACGTTACTTTTCATTAAAAATGTTACGGGAAATTGGTATTGTTACTTTTAAAATGAATTTATGAACATTTTAAGGGTTTCTCAGCTTTGACTTCTAAATCAAATCCCTTACGATTAAACACTGGAAGTAACAAATAGATTCAAGGGATCAGATCTGATAGAATGCCTGAAGAACTAAGGACAGAGGTTCATGACACTGTACAGGAGACAGTGATCAAGACCATCCTCAAGAAAAAGAAATGCAAAAGGGCAAAATGGTTGTCTAAGGAGACCTTACAAATAGCTATGAAAAGAAAAGCAGTGAAAGGCAAAGGAGAAAAGGAAAGATATGCCCATCTGAAAGCAGAGTTCCAAAGAACAGCAAGGAAAAAGATAAGAAAGCCTGCCTCAGTGATCAAAGCAAAGAAATAGAGGAAAACAATAGAATGGTAAAGACTAGAGATCTCTTCAGGAAAATCAGAGATAAAGAGAATTTTTCACACAGAGATGGGCAATAAAGGACAGAAATTGACAATAAAGGACAGAAACAGTATGGACCTAACATAAGCAGAAGATACTAAGAAGAGGTGGCAAGAATATACAGAAGAACTATACAAAAAAGATCTTCACAATCCAGATAATCACGATTATGTGATCACAACGGTAGAGCCAGACATTCTGGAATGCAAAGTCAAGTGGGCCTTAGGAAGCATCGCTAGGAATAAAGCTAATGGAGGTAATGGAATTCTAGCTGAGCTATTTCAAATCCTAAAAGATGATGCTATGAAAGTGCTGCACTCAATATGCCAGCAAATTTGGAAAACTCAGCAGTGGCCACAGGATTGGAAAAGGTCAGTTTTCATTCCAATCCCAAAGAAAGGCAATGCCAAAGAATGATCAAACTACTGCACAACTGCACTCATCTCACACGTTAGTAAAGTAATGCTCAAAATTCTCCAAGTCAGGCTTCAACAGTGTGTGAACTGTGAGCTTCCAGATGTTCAAGCTGGTTTTAGAAAAGATAGAGGAACCAGAGATCAAATTGCCAACATCGAAAAAGCAAGTGAGTTCGAGAGAAACATCTATTTCTGCTTTATTGACTATGCCAAAGCCCCTGACTGTGTGGATCACAACAAACTGTGGAAAATTCTTCAAGAGATGGGAATACCATTCCATCTTACCTGCCTCCTGAGAAATCTGTATGCATGTCAAGAAGCAACAGTTAGAACTGGACATGGACAACAGACTGGTTCCAAATCAGGAAAGGAGTACATCAAGGCTGTATGCTGTCACCCTGCTTATTTAACTTATATGCAGAGTACATCATGGGAAATGCTGGGCTGGATGAAGCACAAGCTAAAATCAAAGACTGCCGGGAGAAATATCAATTACCTCAGATATACAGATGACACCACCCTTATGGCAGAAAGTGAAGAAGAACTAAAGAGCCTCTTGATGAAAGTGAAAGAGGAGAGTGAAAAAGTTGGCTTAAAGCTCAACATTCAAAAAACTAAGATCATGGCATCCGGTCCCATCACTTCATGGCAAAGAGACAGGGAAACAGTGACAGATTTTATTTTCTTGGGCTCCAAAATCACTGTAGACGATGACTGCAGCCATGAAATTAAAAGGCGCTTGCTCCTTGGAAGAAAAGTTATGACCAACCTAGACAGCATATTAAAAAGCAGAGACGTTACTTTGCCAACAAAGGTCCATCTAGTCAAAGCTGTGGTTTTTCCAGTAGTCACATATGGATTGTGACAGTTGGACTATAAAGAAACCTGAGCACCGAAGAATTGATGCTTTTGAACTCTGGTGCTGGAGAAGACTCTCTAAAGTCCCTTGGACTACAAGGGGATCCAACCAGTCCATCCTAAAGAAAATCAGTCCTGAACATTCGTTGCAAGGACTGATGCTGAAACTCCTACACTTTGGCCACCGGATGCAAAGAACTGACTCACTGGAAAAGACCCTGATGCTGGGAAAGAATGAAGGTAGGAGAAGAAGGGGACAAGAGAGGATGAGATGGTTGGATGACATTACTGACTCAACGGACATGAATTTGAGTAAACTCTGGGAGTTGGTGATGGACAGGGAGGCCTGGCGTGCTGCAGTCCATGGGGTTGCAATGAGTTGGACATAACTGAGCGACTGAACTGAACTGATAGTTAAGTACAGACAGAAACACCCTACATACACAAAAGCTCTTCAGGGTCCTCAAGAAATCAAGAATGTAAAAAGAGGTCCTCAGACCAAAGACTTTGAGAATTGCTGCTCCTCTATATTCTACTACCAGACACATCCATCCTTCAGTATCTGAGGGGGGACTGGTTCCAGGATACACACCTCTCCCATGGACACTCAAGTCCCCCCCATAAACAGGTTTATAGTATTTAATGGGCTTTCCTGGTGGCTCAGATGATAAAGAATCTGCCTGCAATGCAGGAGACCCATGTTCGATCCCTGGGCTGGGAAGATCCTCTGGAGAAGGAAATGGCTACCCACTTCAGTATTCTTGTTTGGAGAATTTCATGGACCCAGGAGCCTGGCCAGCTACAGTCCATGGGGCCACAGATTCAGACACGACTGAGCAACTAACACTTTCACTTTCATATAGTGTTGGGGTCCTTTAATGGCCTGGAACCTGGTGGTCCAGAGTATATGATGAGAAAGTGAAAGAAGAAAAGAGGCTAATATTCCCAGCGTTATGTTAGGGGAAGCACGTGCCCTGGCCAGGCACCATAGTAACCATTTGCATGAGTTGTTTTACAACAGTAGGTCCTGGTAAGGAAGAGAGAACTAATAAGCCTCCACCAACCACAAAAGTTCGGGAAAGGTCAAAAGGAGACACCACCTGTCCGACCACCTCCCATAATCCTCCTCTCTGGCATCCATCTTGGCTGAACAAGGAGTGCACCACCAGGAAGGACCCTGAGTCAGAATGATTGGCTAAAGACAACCCAGAAACTAATCCCATCACCAAAAACCC